TTTTTCTTTTTTTTTTAAAGATTTTATTTATTTGAGAGTGAGAACAAGCAAGAGAGTGAGCATGAGTGGTGGGGACGGGGAGCAGAGGGAGAGGGAGAAGCAGACTCCCCGCTGAGCAGGGAGCCAGATGTTGGGCTCAGTCCCAGGACCCTGAGATCATGACCTGAGCTGAAGGTAGACGCTTAACTGAGCCACCCAGGCTCCCCTGAAACAATTTTTCTTAAAATGGAAAGTTCTGGAAATCATCCACTGTTTACAGTCCTACTCAGTAGCAGCATAATTTTCCAGAGGCAGGTACTTACTATTTTAAAAGGCTAAAAGCATTTTACTAATTAAGAGTGTTTCCCTCACACCAAAGATGTTATTATTTCTTCTAATAGAGTTTCTTGTTGCAAATTAGTATTTTGGATTACATACTCTGTGCTTTCCTATGTTTGAAATATCCATAATAAAATTTTAGATACAACATGAAAATACAGGAAATCAAAAGTTGATAATTCCAAAGGGATGTGGGGTAGAAGGAGGAATATGGCAAATTAGTGGATAGTCTAAGGATAAGATAAGTTTGAGTCACAAGAATGGATAGTGGTAGGAATAAAGTGACCAAATGAATATATAAAATTGTAGGAGACTTGATTGCTGACTAGTTCAGTGGCCTGGTAGAAGACCATCCAACAGCTTTAAAATTTTTGTTTTCACACAGATAGTGAAAGGAAGCTGTTACGTGGTTCTTGATTTGGTCAGTTCCAAACAAATGATAATGAAAACTTCTTGCACTTTTGTGGATACTAATATAAAACTGAAGAGGGGAGGGACTGTAAATTCAGCTTATGAATAAAAAGTCTGTAACTCTTGACTTTGTTAAAGTATCAAAGGATTGACTAGGAATCAGGGAACCTATATTATAGAATGAAAATATGTTGTTTATTATTAACTTAAATGTAGCTATATGTATATTAATATACTATGCTATGTAATGGGTGTTTTTCTGTTATTCATTGTCAGCTCATATTCTTAACACTTTATCCAGATGTAGCTATGATAAACATCATATTTTGGTTTGATCCAGGTAGCTCTTTTAAGTTTTATTGATCAAGATGGAACTCATGATGGGGCACCTGGGTGGCTCGGTTAAGCGGCTGCCTTCGGCTCAGGTCATGATCCCAGGGTCCTTGGGGTCGAGCCCCATGTCAGGCTCCCTGCTCGGTGGGGTCGAGCCCCATGTCAGGCTCCCTGCTCGGTGGGAAGCCTGCTTCTCCCTCTCTCACTCCCCCTGCTTGTGTTCCCTCTCTCGCTGTCTCTCTCTGTTATATAAATAAATAAAATCTTTAAAAAAAAAAAATGGAACTCATGCTGACTGCTTTTCTGCAGGCCCATGTTACATTAAGTAAAAAGACTATTTTCAGAGTAGAAATGATTTTGTTTTACATTATGCTGTTTTGTGGATGCCTGCTGTTATTTTTACTCCAAGAAAGAATAGCCACTGTGGCTAAATTAAACTTAATGAGCACTACTGCTTAACTCCCAATGAAAGTTTATTTAATTCTCACAGCCATTCTTTAAGTAGTTGTTACCTTCATTTACAGATGACCAAAAAATAGGTTCTGAAGGGGTAAGTTATTCTGCTTACTGTGGTCTCTGACTTAAATATTTTACATTGTTCTCAGAGCTAGATAATTTTTAATATTGAAAATCAATTCCTTTTAAAAAAGAGAAATCTTTTCCTTCCAAGGATTTCTTAATTTACTGTTTTTTTCATGCCCAGTTTTATGGCTACAGTAAAGTGTGCTGTGAATAAAATGAGTAAATAAGTCAGATAATCCAAGTTTCCAGAAAATTCCATAAAATGAATGTTATGACTCCTACATAGCTGAGTTCACTGAAGAAAAATAAAGTAGCATTTGTATACTTCCAAAGTGGTGTATGTTTGTTTGGTTTTTCTTAAGATTTTATTTATTTATTTTACAGAGAGAGAGCACAAGTGGGCAGAGTGGCAGGCAGAGGGAGAGGGAGAGGCAGGCTCTCCGCTGAGCAGGGAGCCGGACGTGGGGCTCGATCCCAGGACCCTGAGAACACAACCTAAGCCGAAGGCAGCTGCTTAACCTACTGAGTCACCCAGGTGTCCCCCAAAGTGGTGTATGTTTTAAAAAGCAGGGGAACCTGAGTGGAGCAGTTGATTAAACATCCGAATCTTGGTTTTGGCTCAGTTCGTGATCTCAGGGTTGTGAGATCAAGCCCCACGTCCAGCTTTACGCTCAGCACAGAGTATGCTTGAGATTCTCTCTCCCTTTCCCTTTGCCCCTCAACACTTGTGCTCTCTCTCTCTCTCTAAAAGAAATAAATCTTTTTTAAAAAGGCAAATACAAGGGCGCCTGG